CCTGTATGGTCTCTATATAGATGAGAAGCTGCAAATTTTGTAAATGCACGGGAACAGTCAGGTACACCACAGGTAAAACAGCAGCTTGGAACATTACTGTGACCTTTCATATGCTTAGTAAAACCTACAATGGTATTGCTCTCATGTTGACACAATTTACAGTAATACATTTCTCATTTAGATTTAGGTTCAAGTTATATTAAGAAAACAATAACTATGGGAACTTTGAACAGAAAATAAAATGAACTTTCAAATCGTTTGCCAGTCATTTTGAATTTATTTATGACGCAGGGATTTGTTAAACACTGGTTTTACATGCTCTCAATAAGAAATCCAAACTAGTGAAATAAATGAGAAAATAGCAGCATCCAACGATGTTAAAATCATATTGTAATGTTTTTAATCAGCAAAGCTAACTGCACGTGCGTATACTGTATGTAGTTTTGTCTCAACAGCACATCAGTAATTATGTCTCGTCTTCCAAACTGCAAATTGCTTTGCGTTAAATTTAGTTATGACGCAGGCCTTTGTTAAACACTGGTTTTACATGCTCTCAATAATAAATCAAAACTGGTGAAATAAATGAGAAAATAGCAGCATGCAACGATGTTAATAATATCATAGATTCTAATGTTTTTCGTCAAGAAAGCTAACTGCGTATAGGCCTAACGTTACTAGTTTTTTCTCACCAACACTTCAGTGGATTTGTCTTGTCTTGGAAACAGCAAATGCTCTAAAAATACTCTCTTGAGAGCAAATATATGCGGATTGCGAATAAAACTGTAACAAACGGCAGCATTCGTCCATAACATTTACGATGGTTTTACCTTGTAACAGTTCAGCTTCGTCTCACCACTGTTATGGCGCGCGCCGTCGCGATTCTATGCCTCGCCTGAAACAATACATTTAAAATTAAAGACACATTCCTTTACTAAATAAACGTAACGTTAATATTGGAATCAAACACTTTTACATCACACTAAATGTCCTGATAACACGCAGTTGTTAACAAGTCGATAAAATTAATTGCATATCTGACATGATGAATTCTGTTCAAAATATGAATCGCTCAAACAGCATTAAGTAATACAGTAGATTGTAATATTTATGGATGTACATTTAAGTTAACTTACCAAAAATTTAGTAAATAGTGCCTTTTATCTTCAGCGCTTCTTGCCCTGCTCCAGTCCACCAGTTTTTAAACCTGTATTCAGCCCGCGCAATCCCATAATGCCACATCACAGTAAATTGTTGTAAAACGTATGAACTACAGTGAAAACACCTCTTACCTGTAAATCAATTTACAGTTGATAGGGAAATATACTGTTAACAACTGTAATACTCTTTTTGACCCATAATGCATTGCGAATTACAGTAATAACTTGTAAAATGATAAAACAATACATTTCTGTAGAATTTTGCTGTAGAATCTACAGCAATTTGTTACAGTGTAGCGCTTTCATCATAGCTACACTCAAAGCGCTTTACAATCATATCAGAGAATCTCTCCTCAACCACTTAGTGGTTATTAAATCTGAGGAAATCACGGGATCCGGCCAAATGATTGGATACAGAATGATAAAATGTATCCAGAACGGTTACTGTTGACTGTTGAACGGTTACCCTATGCGCCGCATATAGCGCATACCCACTTTTTGCGCCACTGACGAGCACGAAAACATTTAAAAAACACTGCCACATAAAGTTTGGACCATTGTGATACTCCGGCGGAGTCTGTGCGCTCGTCTATAATAGGCAACGCCATGGTAATTCTTGTTGGTAGATTAGCACCTGTGTAGAATTTTGTTGAAAGCCCAGATAACACACACACACGCGAGCTCTGCCAGTGGACGCGCACTGTTATGAATGCACACACATATGGAAGACTGTATTATCGTAATGTTTCGACTTTATTCTCGAAATGTTTCGACTTTAATCTCGAAATGTTTCGACTTTAATCTCGAAATGCTAGTTTTTTATTTTTTTACTGATTTTTTTTTACGTTGCGGTTTCGACTTTAATCTCGAAATATTTCGACTTTAATCTCGAAATGCTTTTTTTTTTTTTTTTTACTGATTTCTTTTTTTTTACGTTGCGGTTCAGGGCTTCCGTAGTGTTATGTATCCTGATTGACTTTATGATTAGTTAAATCTGTTTTGCACTTGCATCGCCACAGAGTTAACCATTTCAGACAGTACCGGTCAGCATCTGTCTCGTTCCGGTAATTTCCAAAATAAAAATATAGTTTTCCCTTTTCCAACAAGAACAATAGTTAACTTTATTTACACAGCCTACTACTTTCCCAATACATTCAAAAAGGAACCCAAATAAACATTTAGCATTTTATAAGTTGATTATATTTAATTATAAATATAGTATTAGAATCACAATAATCTCCACAAAAAAGGGAGATCAGCAGGTCAGCACATAGTTGTTTCCCCTGTACTCCTCTGGATGGAAACAAACTGTTGGCTGGTTTTGTGGTTCTGTTTATAGAAACTAAATCCTGTTATATCGCGCGATCAAACGTAAATTCGCGAGATATCGTGTGTCCTCGTGACTTCAGCTGTCAGTCATGGCCGCAGCCGTTCCGCAACAAATCCGTATCTGGTAGGTATTGAAGGACGGCGGAGCACGGATCCGACACGCAGCGGAGCCGATCCGCAGCCGTTCTGCAGTTGGTGGAAATCCGGGGTAACCCTGTGGCAATCAATGTATTGCCTACTTCTGACCTTTAGATGGAGACACTGCACACTTTATTATAATGTAAACATTCAATATAAATTCAAGTAGCAAATCTCTAAGTAGGCTACTATATTAATTTTATCATCTAGGTTATCTTTTGTTTTCATTTTGATACGTTTTCTGAAGGACCAGCTTTCCCCAGGCTTTTGAAAGTGAATAGACACAATGGTCCAACTTGAATAAAAAGAAAGCAATCCAGCTGATGTATACTACTACCCATTCAAGTGTCATGTCACATGTTTGGCACCAGAGATCACTATAATATTATTTCTAATTAATCATTGTCACCTATTTCTCGTCATCTTTAATTCTAACACTTTTACTTTGCAGTCTGATCTCATTACATACTATTCATTGACACACCTATCTACATGACACAGAAGTATGGTATATAGTACTGAATGATACTGTAAAAACACGGTCTGAAAAAAGGTGATTTGAAGGCTACTTTTACTTTTAGAATGGTCTTTGTTTTGTTTGGTTTTAACTGATTAAATATTCACTTCTTCCAGCATTATTTTGTGCTCTCTGTGTTGTTAACCCTCCTATTCAAACTGCTTGAACTGCTGGTTATACTTTTTTTTTTTATTGTGTTACCTTTTCTCATTTAGGGCAACGAACGCATGAAAGGTTGACACATTGCTGTTTTGGAAAGGCTGTAAAATTTTGGTGACTATGACTGTGTCGGGGTCAAAAGTCAACCCATTCAAAAACAGCAGAGACAAAACAGAAAAGCTTTATTGTAGTTTGTCAAAGACTAAAATATGAGAACTTATGAAAGGTAAAGTCTATATATATATAATTTCTCATATTGTATGTTTTAGTCTAAGGTGCAATAGAGGTTTTATGTTTTTACATTTTTTGTGTGTGTGCCATATTGTCAATTTTTGGAGAATTGGTCAAAGTGACCCTCAACACAAATGGGATACAAGATCTTCAACAAAAGAGAGCACTGTAAAAAAAAACCCGTTAAATTTACAGGAAAACCCTGGCAGCTGTGGTTACCAGAGTTTTCCTGTTAAAAATACGGTAGCAACGTATTAGGTTTTACAACTTTTAACCGTATATAATTTTAAAGCGATAAACCGTATTTCATTATCTGATATAATGTTAATATACTGACCTTTTGGAAGTATTAATATCTGTTTTTTTCCATTGTAATACACTGACAGCCAACAATCACAGCAGTGATGAGAGTCAAATGGTCAACCAAAGCTCTCCATAAGCAGCTCTTCCACAAGAGAGTTAATATTAATATACAGAAGCTGCACAGTGTCATTCACACAAACATTGAACACCATCATGGTAACATGTTGAAATTTTAAAAATGCAATAAGCATTAATTTAACAACATTAAATGTAACATAAAACCCTAATGTACATAACTGATTAGAAAAAAACTAAGAAAATTATGAAGAAACAGTTATTTAAAAAAAAATACATTAAATGTGAAGTGTCACGCAGGGAATTGTGGGAATGTCAATTTACATTTTTTCACTGTAAATTATACAATGACTTGTTCTTTTTCACTTCCAAAAACTGTAAATTTAACGGTATTTTACAGTAAAATTAAATTAAATGTACCATTATATATATCACAGTTATTTACCGTTTATAGTAAGGAAACTTTCTGTTAACTAATTAACAGTTTTTCACTGTAGCATTTTTACAGTGTTTTACCGTTAAAATCACGATCATTTTTTACATTTTTACAGGTTTTCAAATACCCCGTTACTGAATGAGAATTCCACTGCAAACGATTCAGTCCGCGTGTGAACTTTCCGAATGATTCCGACTGAAGCAAGCACCGATTTACACTGCTTTGATAAACAGACATGATAATAAAAAACTTGAATCAGTCACCATCGGTTCTGATTTTAATCAGAAAAGACACGTTGTCACAACATGACAATTGAAAGTCTGTTATGAAATATAATAACCTACACTTTTCTTTATTAGGCCAAAATCGCTTGCGTCTACTAAATATTTCTCACAGGGGCATGTAAAATTATAAAAGTTTAAACATCTCAAATCAAAAATCACTGGTCAACTTTTGCAGGTGTGGAGTCTTTATGGTTTGAAAGCAGTGTTTAGGACCTTTACTGTTTGCCTTTAGCCCTGCAGTATCACAGTTTCACTTTTAATATACAAAACAATTCAACTTTCCAGTTCCCTGAAACCCCACACCCACATTTTTTTTTCTTGATAGATAGATCTATCTATACAGAATGCGGAAATTTCAACCCTTCAGCTGAAAGAACCTGTAGTGTAAGTAATTGTTGAGCTGTTGTTTGAGTCTCTCTGTCTGAGATCATATGCAGTGAAATGGCAGAAGCCAGCATTTCAGTGGGACAGGACCAGTTCATCTGTCCAGTGTGTCTGGATCTACTGAAGAATCCAGTGACCATTCCTTGTGGACACAGTTACTGTATGAGCTGTATTACCGGCTGCTGGAATCAGGATGATCAGAAGGGAGTTCACAGCTGCCCACAGTGCAGACAGACCTTCACTCCAAGACCTGTTTTAGGTAAGAATGTGGTGTTTGCTCAGATGGTTGAGAAACTGAAGATGACTAAACTGCAAGCTACTGGATCTGGAGATTTGGAGTGTGACGTCTGCTTTGGAAGAAAACTCAAAGCCGTCAAGTCCTGTCTGGTGTGTCTGGAATCTTACTGTCAAACTCATTTTGAACGTCATGAAGAATTTCGCTCAGGAAATCCACACAAAGTGATCGATGCCACTGGACGACTCCAGCAGATGATCTGTCCTCAACATGGTAAACAACTGGAAATCTTCTGCCGCACTGACCAGCGCAGCATTTGTTACCTGTGTACAATGGATGAGCACAAATACCACGACACTGTAACATCTGCAGCAGAGAGGACAGAGAAACAGGTACAGGTTGTTTTTTTCGTTGCTTCAGTCTTTTTTTCTGGTTTAAGAATAATTTATATTTGTGCACCAAGAAGAGACAGTAACGAAACAGAGGAGGAGGGTGAACTAAAGCTACCCACTGAGCAAGCGACGTCTGTGGACATACAAAACAGGTTGATATCACGTCCGTCCGTCCAGGCCATAATCTGAACGTCCATTGACATCCAGAATTAGTTGATTAATGACAATGAGAAATTATGTCCAATCTGGCTATAATCTAAACGTCCACTGACAGCCAGAACTAGTTGAGAAAAGACGTTCATACTGGCTATAATCTGAACGTCCGGTGACATCCAGAATTAGTCGATGAATGACTTAAAAAAATATGTCCAATCTGGCCATAATCTAAACGTCCACTGACAGCCAGAACTAGTTGAGAAAAGACGTTCATACTGACTATAATCTGGACGTCCGTTGACATCCAGAAATAGTCCATAAATGACGTGAATAAAGATATCCAATCTGGCCATTATCTTAATGTCCACTGACAGCCAGAACTAGTTGAGAAAAGACGTTCATACTGACTATAATCTGGACGTCCGTTGACATCCAGAAATGGTCCATAAATGACGTGAATAAAGATGTCCAATCTGGCCATTATCTAAACGTCCACTGACAGCCAGAACTAGTTGAGAAAAGACATTCATACTGACTATAATCTGGACGTCCGTTGACATCCAGAAATGGTCCATAAATGACGTGAATAAAGATGTCCAATCTGGCCATTATCTAAACGTCCACTGACAGCCAGAACTAGTTGAGAAAAGACGTTCATACTGACTATAATCTGGACGTCCGTTGACATCCAGAAATAGTCCAGAAATGACGTGAATAAAGATGTCCAATCTGGCCATTATCTAAACGTCCACTGACAGCCAGAACTAGTTGAGAAAAGACATTCATACTGACTATAATCTGGACGTCCGTTGACATCCAGAAATGGTCCATAAATGACGTGAATAAAGATGTCCAATCTGGCCACAATCTAAACGTCCACTGACAGCCAGAACTAGTTGAGAAAAGACGTTCATACTGACTATAATCTGGACGTCCGTTGACATCCAGAAATAGTCCATAAATGACGTGAATAAAGATGTCCAATCTGGCCATTATCTAAACGTCCACTGACAGCCAGAACTAGTTGAGAAAAGACATTCATACTGACTATAATCTGGACGTCCGTTGACATCCAGAAATGGTCCATAAATGACGTGAATAAAGATGTCCAATCTGGCCATTATCTAAACGTCCACTGACAGCCAGAACTAGTTGAGAAAAGACGTTCATACTGACTATAATCTGGACGTCCGTTGACATCCAGAAACAGTCAATAAATTACGTAAATAAAAGATGTCCAATCTGGCCATTATCTAAACGTCCACTGACAGCCAGAACTAGTTCAGAACAGATGTTCATACTGCACTGTAAAAAAAATATCCTAATTTTACAGTAAATAACTTCCTATTTTCATCATTGTGGTGGCGTTCATGTGTGTTCAATTCGTAAATACGATCTTTATGACATGTCTTGAATGCATCAATAGCTCTATTTTAGGGACAATCCTTACAAACAATCATTGCTAAAATACATTACAGACTGTCACAGTGAGAAGATCTTTGTCCTTTATCAATGCTAAAGACCTAACCACTGCAGTCAACACCTTGGAGTATCCATGCTGTTAAATAAAAGTCTGTAGACAAGGGTTAAGGTTAGGGTTAACCCCTTAATTTCTAACCCCCGGTTTCACAGACAGGGTTTAGATATAAAGCCAGGATTAGGCCTTAGTTAAATTTGGGCATTCAATTATAGCTTTTAAAAATGTACCTTAGAAGAAAAAAACATTACTGGTGTGCATCTTGAGACAAAACAATGGCACTGACATAAGATATGTCAGTATAGCCTACAAGTTGCTTTCAGGTAATACAGCTCAAACGTGCATTTTAGTCTGGACTACAGGCTTAAAGGAGAACTCCGGCGCAAAATGAACCTCGGGTGTAATAACACATTGGTACAGACTAAATCGTTCCCTGAGATTTGTTTTCATGATAATCGAATGTAAAGAGTTTTATCTCTAAAAACAGTTTAGCTTATAACGCTAGTATATTGGGCATCGAGTAAGCAAAAAGAGATCGCTAGTTAATACCATTAACAAGGCTCAAATTAGCCCCACACTAACACGGCAGCATAATGAGTGTCCTTACATGCAAACCGAAGCATTGAGAACTTTGTAAGTGTATAGACAGTTTAATAAGAAGATACTTTACACAGACAGTACAGTTAGCGCATACAGACAGCAGCCATCTTGGAAAACAGTCTCGCATAAGAGAAGCACTTAACGCAACAGAGAAAATAAAAAAATAAATATAATTTATCTTATCTTCAATATCTACACGTACTGTTCGCTCACTCTCGTGGTTCGATTGGTCGAGACTGTTTTCCAAGATGGCTCCTGTCTGTATGCGCTAACTGTACTGTCTGTGTAAAGTATCTTCTTATTAAACTGTCTATACACTTACAAAGTTCTCAATGCTTCGGTTTGCATGTAAGGACACTCATTATGCACTGTTCTGATAAATTGCTGTTTATTAGAACAGTGATAAATAAATGTTATTATATATGGTATACAAGTTACTGTTTAATCTTTCATTTTTTATCTTTCATTTTTTATCTTTCATTTTTAATCATGCACTGCAATGAAAACACATTTAAACAATTGATTAAATATAACAGCCAGCCTACAAATACAACTAAATAGCACGTGTATATTTTTTTCCTATTCTTTCTTTTAAAACATTTCATATTGTCCTGTTATTGCAATGTTTTCACACTATTGGCTGTCTCTCCGAGTTGTTTTGAGCATGATTGGTTATTCTGACTGTCATCCAGGAATCTGGCCAATGACAACTATGCGCGCCTTTACCAGTCAAGTTTGAATACGTCAGTTGAAGTGAGTGGGTGTCTGTGCTCCTGCTCGGGACCTACTTCGGTTTTGTGGCTTTTACATTGTTTAAAACATGGATTATTTTACATCGGACTGCTAAATGTTTATTTTGAGCGAGTTGCGGGATGTAAATGAAGAACAAACAAGGAATATGGACAACGAACAATGGACATATTGCAATCTACGGAAGGTAACGTAAATAACTTTTTATTTTATACAAATTCTAATACATCAAAATATAGTGTATTAAATTGAGAATCTAAACGCGATTAGAGAAATATTGATATTAGTACGGTATTCCAATGTATTAGGCTAATTATGTGCTGAGCTAGCATGTGTATTGTCAGCTAACTTAGTTTATGATAAAAAAATAAAATAAAACTCAGCATTGGAGCTTTACAATGAGTGAACTGAGAACATTGTCTCTTTAGACAGAAGAACTCGAACCACACTCCTTTACTCGAGTCTAGAAGAATCTGCAAACTAGGCTTTTAAATTGTTGATCGCGGGATTTAACGTTAAAGCAGGGTTCCCGCGGATCCTTAAAAAGTCTTAAAAAGTCTTAAATTAGATTTTTAAAATTTAAGACCATAAAAAGTCTTATAAAGTCTTATTTTTACTTATGAAAGGTCTTAAATTTTAGATGACACTTTGACTTAGACATATCTAAAAGCTTTCCAAATTAAAACTATCTAATTAGCGTACGTATTTTTATTTATTTATTATTCTATCTTTGTGGATTTGCTAGTTCACGTGACATTTCGCGTCACTCGCGAGTCGCGGCAGCATAACTGTCTCCTGACCTGCACGCGAGAGGAGAGAAAGAGAAGAAAGGTCGTAAATGTCAGTTCAGTTGTAAGTTCATTCTTTATGTGCGTATGGTTTGCGATGTGTATTGTCTATTATGATATTGTAATCATTGTTTTTAACAATGTACGAGGCACTGCGAGCTGACAAAGCATTTGTCTCTCGTGCTTTCACTGCGTGATGTGTGCAGTGTAACTGTTATGTCCCCAAATTAGTTTTTGTCTTAAATTTATATCATATTATGTTCTTATATTAGAATATCACATCAGAAAGAGTGCCGTTTTCCCGTGCACGATTCCAAGTGTGATATTTATGTTATACAACTGTTAAATTAACAATAAGTTAACATTGAAACTACTTTTTAGACACAATATTGTTAATATTGTTTGTTTTCCCTTTATTTCGCCGACTATAATTTTAAAATGAAACCGTAGCAGAGTCTCAATGCAACCGACAGCGATGATTTCTTGACTGAAATCCGCGTTTTGAACTAATCACTTGCTTCTTTCCCGAATGAATCAGCCGTTTGAACGAATCGGTTGAATGAATGACTCCCTCAACTCACTTATTAAGACAGTGATTTGCCGCTGCGGTTTCATATTTAAAGTACCCTTTAAATAAAACGTTAAAATTAGAAATCATTTCATATTTAAATATTGAATATTGATTTAAAAATATATATCTCATAGCTTTATTTATGCAGTTGTAAATGGAGTGTAAATCTATTAATGCCACTTCTGATGCCGCTTCTGTCACCTCTGCACTGCAAAGATGGATTTTGATTGAATGATTTAATTTGACTGGTAACAGTGGTACTGTATGATTATTATATAATTAAGTATTATTGTATAATTACTGTATAATTTAATTTGAATGATAGTATTTGACATTAAAGGTGATGCATAACTCTAACATCATAAAAATGTCCATATATAGGTGAAAATGCCCCTGAAAAAATCAATTTAAGGTGGCAAATATTGCCCCTTAATCAAAATATTAATTTCTGTCACTGCTGTGAACCGACCACTGCATAGAATATGAAAAATATGAATATCTTCGTGAGTCAGCTGTCAACAACAGACCTAAACCAGCCATGGCACCAGCACAAAAACACAATCAGTAAAATATCATCTAATTATTATCAACAAAACGTTGAAAATATCAAGATATATTTGTCAATACTGCACAGCCCTAATGTACGGTATTAATTTTG